AGTGGTATTTTTACAAATGAACACTCTTAAGTGGTATTTTTGCAAATGTGCACATAAAAATGGATTTTTGCAATTTCTCCATATATAATCTTCTCTAACGTACTTATTTTTACAAATTTAAATTAATAGAATCTTCTCTAACATACTTGTTTAACAAGTTTAAGTTACTATAACCTTCTCTAAACACTAAAATAACTGAGAAAACTGATGGAAAATAAATATAAACATTTTTTTTAAATGTTCATTTAATAATCAAACTTTTTTATTTCTTTAAAAATAGATAATTGCATGATGATGTGACATATGTAATTGATGGAATATATTTTTTTTTTAACTTATAATTGATGGAATTGATAACCTGATTCGGCACATAATCGAATCTACCACAAAACACGATGACATAAAATTAAGCATTGGATGATAGTCAGAAAAAAAACATATAACATTATCTTCCAGCCTTAGTTTGATTTTGAGAATAAAGAAAAACCTAATGTTGATACATAACTTGGTAATGGAAAAATTAAAAGAGCGTTCACGGCGAAGGTGATCGAATACTCTGTAGAATTAATGCTTACTAAATTTTCAAACTTAAGAGAATCAGAATGAGAATACATGTTCCAATGAAAGCGTATAAGAAATTGCGACAAAAAAGAATGCTTAGAACTCTCCCAGGCACCGCCGTAAGCAGAATGGATCTCCGGCAGTGCTCCTCCGACGACTTCTAACCGCACCGGTGCCCCCCCCCCCATCTCGGGTTCCCAAGGTTTCCGAAGAACCCTCTCCCTCCGGAGACGAACTTGTGCAAACCTCACCGGTAAATCACTGCTTGTTATCTTATTTAATACTCTTCTGCCATCGGAATGGCGAATGTGCGTTCGATATCCATGGATTTCGGCCAGACCCGTGCACGCAGTGTCCTCAAATTCCGTCGTGTGTCTCAGCCGCCGACGATGTATCCTTCAGATCTGCGACAAGAGCTCATTTACCGTGACACCCTAAGCTCTCCACCGGAACCACATGTTCCGTCGGATCTGCTGGATCCAACTCTAACCGGAGATTTCTCTAGTTTATATGCTCGGCTGCTCTCTGTTGACCTATCGGCGGTTGCACAACCTCAACTTCATCTTACGAGATCTCATGGATGATGCAGCGCCAAATTTTTACCGGCAACTCTCTAGTCAATCGTCTCAGAAAGAGATTTCGTTTTACTTGATCCGGTGGTGATCTTTGTTTCGATGGGTTTCCTTACCGAGAAGAGCATTGACGACATCTCCGATGACCAAACGAAAACCCTCATCGTCTTCATGATGAATCTCTATCTCGCCGTCAAAGAGTTTTGCTATGGCATCTCCGGTGACCGACCAAAAATTTCCCCGCCATCCTTCCCGTCGTGGAACCTTTTGTCCGATCACTCACAGCCAACGTCTCCCCTGGGCCACGATCATCAACTTTGGGCCTAACCCATAAGAAGTGTTAAAATTAAGCCCATGAGAAGTGAAATTGGGCTATACTTGATAGGCCCTTTGTCTTAGGTTTGGCCCAAGAGTAGATTCAAGGTTAGACTATTTAGATTAATAGGCTCATCCTCAATGTGTTTAAAATGCATATTTTCAAAAATCTTATATGTTTTGTTCTTGTTGGTTTTTCATCTTTGAGAAGTCCAAAGTTATCTGGATTCTCAAATCCTGTAGTTTTTATTGATCATACCTCTTCTACTATGAGAAGACACAAGTTTTCTGGGTTCTCAAACCCTGTAATTTACTCCCGGTGGAAGAGTCTAATTCCACTTTCGGCCATCTCTTTGAGACTGGTCGTATTTTCTTCCCTCTCCTAGAGAGTGGTCGAATCCCCGAGCATTATGCTGGGATCTTCAAAGTCACATTGGAAAGTGACTATCCTGAGACTATTCGGCTTTGCCGCGAAGATTCTCTTGACGCATCCAAGTCACGACTTGAATTCGTTGTCCATCTTCTACGATGATATATCTGCTTTATGTTTTATCGCATTTCAATTATGTTGTATTAATGTTGGAAGATGTTTCATTCCCTCTTTTTGTACTCTGATCGTTTAAATGAATGAAAAGCTAGTTGACAAAAAAAAATGCTTAGATTTGTATTTCTTAAGACATTTCTTCAATGTTTTACACTCAAAATATTTACGCGTTGTTGTTAATTAGCCTTGGCTAGCTTTACGTTTAACATATATCCTTTGAAACTCTTCTTGTGCTTTTTATTATTGCTTTTTGACATTCATAAATATAACCAATATTTTCCACTTGAAATCCACACGATTTTTCTAACCTATTTGGCAGCCATAAAATCATGGGTTAATTAATTGAATATTAATTTTGGGATCTATAATTAGGTAACTAGCAAAAAAATTTAAAATTATGACGAAATTGCTTTTATAACTATAATTAAGGTAAATATAATCTTCTCTTGATTTAATCCCTAGAAAATCTCATGCGCTTGTATTCTTGCTAAAAGTAGATGTGCGTTTTGCACAACAGCGATAGAAAAAAAATTGGATCACAAGGTGACAAAAAAAAAACAAATATGTTGTAATAGTTAACTATTTAATAACATAGTTAACTATTTTTGAAACATCTCAAAACATAATTAACTACATAACATTATTTGTAACTATCTGAAATATAGTTAATTATTTTTTAAAAATAGTTACCAATTTGGAAATATAGTTAACTATTTGCAAAGCATAGTTAATTGCAGTATTGATTTCAAGACATAGTTGATTACATGAAAATGTTGTTGTGATAGTTAAATATTTAAATAAACATAGTTAACTAGTTCAAAACGTAGTTATTAACATACATAGTTGACTGTTATCTTAAACATATTTGCCTATTATAATAAAAAAAATAACATACATAATAAACTATTATGAGAAACATAGTTACTTTTTGTACATAGTTAACTATGTCGATCTTCCGCGACAGCTGAATTTGAATAGGAGATGAATGACGGTGGAAAAATTAACAGAAGAGAAAAAAACATCATCTTAATCTACGATTAAAGATTTCGTTAAGAAAGCTAGATAATTAATATATATGCTAATTTCCGTAAAATCTGCTCCCATTTTGGATC